TATATAGAAGCCTAATATGCAAATTGTGCCCCCGGGAATTCAATCGCTCACTATAACATGCACTGACCACCAGGCGCAGCATGGAACAAAGGAAGACCCCAGCCAGCAGCTGGGGAAGGGAGGCCCCGGCCGGCACCCAGAAGGCCCCGACCGGCCCTGATCGCCGGCCAGGCCTAAGGACCCTGCCTGTGCACAGATTTCGTGCACTGGGCCTCTAGTAATTAATAAGGAAACTGAGTAAGTTATCAAAAATTTCCCAACAAAGAAAAACCTGGGGCTAAATGGCTTTGCTGGTAAATTCTGCCAAACACTTAAAGAAGAATTAACACCAATCCTTCTCAAACTCTTCAAAAATAGTGAAGAGGGAACACTTCTTAACTCATTTTAAGAGGTCAGCATTACCCTGATTCCAAAGCCAAAACACTACAAGAAAACTACAGACCTGTATCCCTCATGAACACTGATGCAAAATCCTCAATAAAATACTAGCAAATTGCCCTGGCCAGTTTGGCTAAGTGGATTGAGCGTAGGCCTGCGGACTGAAGGGTCCTGGGTTCAACTCCAGTCAAGGGCACATGCCTAGGTTTTGGACTCAATCCCCAGTGGGGGGTGTGCAGGAGGCAGCCAATCAATGATTCTCTCTCACCGATGTTTCTATCTCTCTCCCTCTCCCTTCCTTTCTGAAATCAATAAATATAAAAAATACTAGCAAACTGAATTCAGCAGATTAAAAGGTTTATACACCATGACCAAGAAGAATTTATTCCTTAAATGCAAGGATGGCTCAACATACAATAATTCATTCATGTAATACAATAGAAAGGAAAAGGAACACACACATGTTCACTCAATTGATGAAAAAAAGCTTTTGACAAAATTCAACTTCCTTTCATAATAAAAACATTTAACAATCTAGAAATAGAAGGAAACTTCCTCAACATAAAGCCATATTTGAAAAACCCATATCTGAACATCACACTCAATTGGGAAAGACTGAAAGCATTTTTCTAAAATCAGAATCAAAACAAAAGGATGCCTACTTTCACCACTTCTACTCAACATGTTACTGAAAGTTCTAGCCAGAGCAATTAGGCAAGAAAAAGAAATAAAAGGCATCAGAACAGAAGTATAATTATCTCTGTTCACAGATATGGTTTTACTAGAGGCCGGGTGCACGAAATTTGTGCACGAGTGGGGTCCCTAAGCCTGGCCGGGGATCAGGGCTGATCAGGTTCCCCACCACCCTGCCTCCTCCTTCCCTCGCCGCCTGCATCTGCCACCACCCACCCCCAGTTCCCCATCCCAGCTCGGGGCCTGGCCCCGATTGGGCTATCGGGACCTGCTGGCCAGAGGGAGGTACTGGGAGGTTGCCCAGCAGGCCCTGATCAGGCGATTGGGGCCTGCCAGCCGGGGAGAAGGACCCAGGAGGTTGGCCACCGACCCCAAGGAGGGAGCCGGCCTCAGCCCCCCTGGAAAAGGGGCCACGTCTGCCGCCACCCACCTCCGGTTCCCTGTCCCAGCCGGGGGGCCTGCCAGCTGGAGGAGGTACCGGGAAGTTGGCTGGCAGGCCCCATCAGTGATCGGGGCCTGCGGGCTGGGGCAGCTCCTGTGTTGAGCATCTGCTCCCTGGTGATCAGTACGCATCCGTTTTAACAGTCACTTAGGCTTTTATATACAGAAGGTCCTCAGGTGACGTCAGAGATCCGTTCCCACAGCGTGACGTAATGTGATTTTCACCATAAGTCGGAACCCACCTACATAAGCACCTACATCACTGACATGGAGCACACACACAGCAGTAATGAAGTGAAACAGTAAAAAAAATTTAAAAGAAAGATAACAATTCCTGACCTTTACTTGTGGTAAATAAATAATAAAAAACATAAAGCACATATGTACATACATCGAAATGACGGAACTATTTTTTTTTTATAAATAAATGAGATGGCGACGTAACACGAAACGACGAACACTGAGTCCGACGTAACCCGAGGACTGTCTGTATATGGTTAAGATATCCAGAAAACCTAAAAGAGGCTACAGAAGCTGTTAGAACTAATAAATGAATTCAGCAAAGTTCCAAGATGCAAAATCAACAGAAAAAATATCAATTGCATTCTACAGACTAACAATGAAAAATCTGAAAAGAAATTTAAGAAAACAATCTCATTTACAAATGCACAAAAAAAGGATAAAATACTCAGGAATAAATTTAACCAAGGAGCCCTGGCCAGTGTGGCTCAGTTGGTGGGAGTGCTGTCAAAAATTAACTGAGAATGGATCAAAGTACTAAACACAAAAGCTAAAACTATAAAACTCTTAGAAAAAAACATAGGCGAAAAGCTTGATAACCTTGGATTTGACAATGGTTTATTAGGCTTGACACCAAAAGCAGAATCAACAAAAGAAAAAAATAGATAAATTAGACTTGATGAAAATTAAACTTTGTCCATCAAAGCACATTATCAGGAAAGTGAAAAGACAACCTTGGGAATGGGAGAAAAGTTTCAAATCACCTGTCTGGTAAGGGGTTAATAGACAGAATATATTACGTACTATAACTCAACAACACAAACCCAACTTAAAAATTGGCAAGAGCCACATAAACATTTCTCAAAAGATACACAAATGGCCACCATTGCACGAGAAGACGCTCAACATCATTAGGGAAGCATGAGTCAAAGTCACAATGTGATACCATTTCATACCCATTAGGGTGGCTATAACCAACAACTGCAATTCTTGTGCACTGCTGCTGGGAATGTAAAATGAGGAGGTTGCTATGGAAATCAGTCTGGCGGTTTCTTAAAAAGTTAAACATAGAATTGCTATGTGATCCCCAAATTCCACTTCTGTGTATATACTCAAAGGAATTAAAACTAGAGACTCATTCATTCCAACAGTCAAAAGCTAGGACAACCCAAATTAACAAACAAATGTGGTGCACACAGTTGGCCCTTGGAGAACACAGGCTCGAACCACATGGGTCCCCTTATAAGCGGACTTCTTTTCAATAAATATAGTCGGCTCTGGGCATCCCAGGTTTCCCACCCTTGAGTCAAACCTTGGATTGAAAACAGTATTTTGACCCAAAGTTGAGAAGCCATGTATGCAGAGGGCTGGCTTAAGATCTACACAGATTTTTGATTGGGGGGGGGGGGGTCAGGCACCCCTAATCATTGTTCAAGGGTCAACTGTACATACGATGGAATATTGTTCAGCCTTAAAAAGGAATGAAATTCTGGCACATGGCACAACATGGAAGAGCCGTGAAGACGTTAAGCTGAGTGAAATAAGTCGGTTAGAGAAGGACAAATGCTATAGAATTCTACTTATATAAGAGATCTAAAGTAGCCCAATTCATACACAGAAAGTAGAATGGTGGTTGCCAGGGGCTGGGATAAGAGGGGGATGGGGTTTGATTCTGATATTTAAAAGGTAGTTTCCATTTGGAATGATAAGACTATCCTGAAAACAGTGGTATAGTTACCTACCACTGTAAATGTACTTAATGCCACCGAATTGTACATTTTACATGGTAAATTTTGTTATGTATATTCTTACGATAAAAAACAACCACCACCAGGCCATATTTCAGCCCATTGAGAGAATTCCTCTTCAAGGCCAGTTCTCCTGATGGCCTTGGGCCCTAAAGATGTGGATGCCATCTTGTCCTTTGTGTTGACCTCAAACCCAAGCCAACAACACAGGTTGACTAGCTGCTGTCAAAGCGCCGAATGAAGCCCGAGAGCCCCCAGGCCAGGTGGTTTGTGGGGGCAACTGTGGGACGTGCTGACAAGTTGCCAACAAAAGCAGATGCCGATCGGGCAAGCTTCACTGCTACGGGGTCCCCCTTCGGCTTTCCCACAGAACCGCAGCCCGCCACGCGGAAAGTAGCCAGGGGCCGGGCTGACCAGCCTGGTGGTTTTTAAGCTGGAAAGCGGAGTCCCTGTCCCCCGCCACTCCCCGCTTCACCCATCTAGACAGTTCATGCATTTTGTTGAGTTAGGACAGTTTCCATCCATCCAAGAGCAGAACCAACCACCTCCACCCCTCCGCTGTCTTTAGGCCTTTTCACACAGATTATCCTGTGAAATCTCAAAACACTCCGGTGGGGATGGATGTGTGGGGGTTATGAAGAAGACGGGGGCTCACAGCGATGCAGCAATGTGCCCCCAGGCCCACGGCCCCAAGAGCAAGGGCCGGGGTTTGCACGGCGCTCGTGAGCTTCAGGCTCTGCTTCTTCGATGACTCCGGGAAGATAAGGAGGAAGGGAAGCAGCCCGTCCTGGCGTCCAGCAAGAGGAGGGGGAAGCTGGCAAGTGTGGCGGCCCGTCGGCTTACAAGTCCGCCCCGAGAAGCAGGCCGCGGAAGAACCGAAGAACCGAGCGCCGTGCTCTCGCCCTCGGGGCCACCCTGACCCAGCAGCGGGTCTTTCCCTTTGGAGGCTCGTACTCAACGGGTCCAGCTGGGCGCCTCGGGGCGGGTCTGCGACTCCTGGGGCTGCACCTGGGACGGCACCCGGGCTCCAAGGGGAAGGCCGGCGGGGTCGTGGGGAAACGGGAGTTTCTGCGCCTGCAGACGCGAACCAGCCACGCCTAAACCAGCCCGCCTCGGAAACGGTCGCAGGCTCCGGAGACCCAGGAGGGCAACATCCAGCAGGCAAAACGGGGTCCAGCCCTGGCTGGTTTGGCTCGGTGGATAGAGCGTCGGCCTGCGGACTGGAGGGTCCCAGGTTCGATTCTGGTCAAGGGCATGTACTCTAGGAGAGTCTTTAAAAAAAAACAAAAAACCGAAACGGGGTCCACTGCGCCCCGACCACTGCCCCGCCGCCCACCCGCGAGCACCAGCCTGGAGGGGGCGGACGCCGACGCCCCGCGCATGCTCCAGCCGCGCGCGCATGCGCGTCCCCGGCGGCGGCCTTTTCCTAGTTCCCAGCCCTCTCGCCCCGGTTCCGAACGCTGGCTGCCACAGCCACGGCCCTCACCCCCCACTCCTCACCTTGCGCCCGGTTTTCTCCCGCAGGGCCTTCAGCCGTTCCTTTCGCCGCAACGCTTCTTCCTCTAGCCGGCCCACACCGGCCGCAGCAGCAGCCATCTTGCCCGCCAATCCCTCCTCTCCGTCAGTTTTACACTGCGCAGGCCCAATGAGTAGATGACTCTCACAGCCAATCCGAGGACGAAAATGAGAGAGCCGGAAGTCCTGAAAGCCAATCAATGCTAAGTTGCTCTAGGGGGGCCCGCCCCCTCTCTCCCCTACTACTCGCCCCGTCGGTAGGGGGCGGGCAAAGCTTGAGGCGTTCAACGTCAATCAGTGAGAAAGCAGCAAGTGGCATCAGACCTGAGCGAAGGAGAATAGAGCGCGTCGATCGCTCAGGTTTTGCCTAAGCGCTAACCACAGCTCACTCCACGCCGGCCCCTTGGAATGCGCTGACCCAACCTTTGCGCACTTGTTCTGATTCTTCAAGGCTCCAAAGCCTTCAAGAAGCCTCGTCTGACTCGCCACTCCGACCCCAGCCTAATAAGAGGTCTACCTCTCCCTTTGTGTCCACTAGCAGTGGCTCTTGGGATGTCCATGGGCCCCTAGACCCTTCTGTGTCCACTCTCAGCTCAGACAAAGCCTGCGCAATGCAGGGCTTGCCTGGATGGCAATTTCCCTTCGGGCTCATGGATGGTCCTCTCCCATCTCTCCAACACCCCTGGAGTAAAAGTACCCGGGGTCAGACTACCTACCCTGGAGAAGAGCAATCCCCAGCCTGGGCCCAGTGGGCCCCAAGGAACCCCTAGAGCTTAGTTCCCCGGAACTAAGGGGAGAGTTGGTTTGGCCTCGACTGCACTAGGTGGCCACCAGGGCACTGCTCCCTAGCAGGCTCTTCCCTGCATTGGTCAGTATGCCCTGACCACCGAGACCCCTTTGGCTGAAGCGAAGATCTGACAACATGTTGGGGTCCTCAGAACTCCATCTCCTCCCACCTGAGAAGACAAATGCCCCTTTGCCACAGACCCCCGCCTTGTTCCCCCACATGACCTTCTGGACCTCACGAACCTGGGTCTTTTGGCTCCCTATCTCCTGCATCAGGTGGGGTGCCTGGTATGCAGGTAGCAGATACAGGAAATGTCCACTCAGTGGCAGGATGGACGGGGCAGGAGAAAAGGCCAGTGTAGAGGGGCTGCCTAAGAAGCCAAGAGGACAGAGCAGGATGAGGATGGAAATTGGAATGGGGATGGGGATGGGGATGGGGATGGGGACAGAGTCTGTCTTCCCAAGGTCCAGGGGCTCCAGACTGGTCAAGTCCTCAACTGGTCAAGTCCTACACCCTCTCTGGGCCCCACAAACTTCCCTCCAGCCCCAACAAAGGGCCTGGCCCCTCCTCAACACCAGAGGGCCCCCTCAACTCCCAAGCCAGCTGGAAAGGTTGATGGAAAGAAGTCTAGGGGTGAAGGTGGCAGGGCCCAGCAAGGAGTGAGTCAGGCCTCTTGTTCCTGTCCATGCTGCCCCTGGCTGCCCAGGTAGTCCTAACTTGGCCCCCTCTAGGCTTCAGTTTCTCCTCCTTGCCTCTAACCTCTTAAGGTGAAAGAATTCGAAGTATGTGAAGCAAGCACTGAACCTGGAGTGGCCTGTGCTTCCACCAGCACATCTAGGAGGGCTTCCTGGAGGAGAGGCCCCGCGGAATTGGCTAAATCTCCCAGGAATGTGCCCCACTGATGAGGGAACTGCTCTTCCAGGTCATTTCCGGCGTGTTCTCCTGCTCTCTGACCCCCATTCTGCTCCACCAACAGTCCATGCAAAAAAGTGGCACTCAGGCCCGAGCCGGCTTGGCTCAGTCTGCGGACTGAAGGGTCCTGGGTTCAACTCCCCATCAGGGCACAGGCCCAGGTTGTGGGCTTGACCTCCAGTAGCGGGCGTGCAGGAGGCAGCCAGTCAATGATTCTCATTATTGATGTTTCTCTCCCTTCCTCTCTGAAATCAATTTTTAAAAATGGTGTGTGCTTGTTTGTTTGTTTGTTTTAAGTAGTACTAGGTCTTCCTATAAAACGCTTAAAGCAGCTCCTGCACGTGGTCAGCTCTACAAGTGGTCGCCATGGTTATTGTTACAATTACTTGTTGAAGGACACTGGGCGCTGCGCGCGGCCCGCAGCTCCTTCCCCGCACCCCGCAAGCCTTTCCTTTGCACACAGGGTGGCAAGCCCGGCCGGGCGGGCTGCATCCCGGGACAACTCGGGAACCCCGGACCCGACAGTCACGGGGCTCTGGGGGAGCGCGGGCTGCGGGGGCGGGGCTGTGGGGCGCCCCACCACCACCACCCCCCGGCCGCCCTGACCTCAGGCTCCTCCTCCCGCCCGCTCTCCGCCCCGTGCACGGTCCCAGGAGGGGCGGGGCGGCGGTGGCGGCAGCCCAGTGCAGGAAGCGGGCGGAGGCCGGCGCGAGGAGGAGCGTGCAGATTTGAGCGGCTCGGCGGCGGGGGCCAGGACGACTTACCCTGGGAGTTCCTCGCCGCTCCGCCCCGGAGTGACGCCCGCCGCCCATGGGCCTGGCCGAGGGCAACCGGCGGGCGGCGCGGAGGAGGTGGCGGCGGCAGGTGGCGCGCAGCAGGACCGGAGCCGGGCCGGGCCATGGCCGCCTCGGAGCGACTCTACGAGCTGTGGCTGCGGTACTACACGCAGGTGAGGCCGCCCGCCCCGCCCCGCGACCGCCGTCCCCAGATCCGCGCGCCCCGCACCTGCTACACCTGCGCCCGCGCCCCGAGGCACCCGGGCCGCGTAGATGCGCGCGCGAAGGGGGTGCCCGCGCTCCGCGCACACGCGTGCGCCTTACACCTGGGGACTGTCCTCGCGGGTGCGCACCTCAGAGATCCTCTGGAGGGTGGGGACCGCGCACCTCGGTCGAGCCGGGGAGAAGGGCTCGGATCGCGGCCCGGCACTTCCCCCTTTTACAACTGGGGAAACTGAGGCTGGGAAACGAATCGAAAGGTTGGCGGGGTCGGGAGGAGCGGAGCGGCTTGGTTTGCCTTTGGTCTGGCCCCTCCTGTAGGTGTGGCCCCGTCGCTAGGGTCTGAGTGAGCTGGGGGTGTGCAGCCCGGGCGTCCCCACTGAGGTCCGGTCCCGCTTGGACACCATTCCTTCCCCGGGGGATGGGCAGTGCTGGGCTCCTCGCTGGCCCCAGGCGGTCTCGCCCTACACGGTGGGGGGGGGGGGGAGTTGCGGGACTAGACGGGGTCCAGGCAGAAGAAAAGATTTGCCTTAGATGCTGAGCGTGGGGGTAGGGGCTGAGCTAGGAGGGAAATTTGAAAGGGACGGAGGGACCCCGTTCCTGCGGAGCTCCCCGTCTTGTGTCTTGTCTCCGAGGCCACCTCAAATGGCTTCAGCAGGTGAAGGCGGGGACCCACCCAGGCGTCCGACAGAGCTGAGAACCCAGTGTCCCCCAAACTCTGTCTCGTTTACCCAGGCCCCCACTTTCCTTCTGCATCCCCAGCAGGGAGGACTCCCAGGATAATGCCCCCTCCCCTTGCCCAGCACCGGCCTCCCTCCCTGCACCTGCTTGGCATCTAGCTGCTGGCTCAGGTGTGCCCTGGGCACAATGGACTATTGTGCGCCCCTGATCTGGTCACTGGGGGAAGTTCCTGCTCAGATCAGCTGGCCCTCTGTGAAGAGGCTGTCCAGCCATCTCCCGGGACTACAGGCCAGCGTGGGGGCCCCAGGGATCTGGAATCCAGGCCACGGGGGCCACAGCTTCTGGAGTCCACTCTGGTGGCGAGAGGGCGAGGGCCCTGGCAGGAGGCAGCGTGTGGATGAGATCGAGTCCTTCTGTGGTGTGACCAGGCCAGGCTCTGTACACCTCTGAGCTTCCCTGTCTGGAAACGGGGCCCAGCCCTGGCCTCAGGAGCGGCCTGTACCCAGAGGGGTGGCCAGTAGGACTGGTCCAGGCCAGAGGAGGCTGCTGCTTCCCTGGCTGCACTGGGCTCCCTCACCCCAGCCCGTCTCCACCCCCAAGGGTTGGTCTCTGTGAAGGACACCTGTCCCTGGCCCTCATGCCTCTCCTGCCCGTGGCCGTGGCAGGTTCTTGGTCCTCAGCTTCTCCTGTGACCAGGTGATGAAACTGAAGGATGCTAACAGAGGGTCCTCAGGCTGGGTGGCCCCTGCTAAGGAAGATGCCTCTGCACCCCCCCCCCCACTAGATGAGCTCAGCAAATGGTCAGCCCCCGGTTCCCTCAGGAGGTGTATCTGTGGGCCCCCCCCTCCCAGCTCCTTACCTCGCAGGGCAGGTCTGGGGCACACGCTGGCTGGTTGTGGCCTTGGAAGCCTGGACAGGCCGGGGCAGCCTGGGCCTGGCAAACAAATCCAGGATGTGAGTGTGAACTGGGAGCCAGGCGGGGCCAGGCTGCCCCAGAGGAAGCCCGCACCGCCTTCCTGCCCACTTGGTGCCTGCTCCTGCTCCCGGAACACTGTCCCCACCCAGCTGGCTCCGGGGAGGTGGCTGTGCCGCCTGGAGCCGGGCTGGGGACCCAGCGTGTGTGCTGGGGGGGGGCGGGGGGTAAGATGAGGTAAAGGGTTGAACTGATAAAGGGTATGAATAGACCCCAGAGTTGGCCGGCCACCCAGCCAGGAGGCTCCCCCAGCACCTGCGCCCCTCCCTTTGGCAGTGAGAGCTGACATCAGCTGGCAAACCTGTTTCCCCAGTTGTGGGTCTTGGCCCGCCCTGGGGAGCAACCCCTTTCTGCCCTTCCTCTCCCCTCACAGTTCCCAGGCCCAGACCCACCCATGCCCTCCCCCTGGGGCCCTGCTCAGCGCGGGGCTACCTGTGGGGGAGGGAAGGGGCTGTGGGTGCTCCTGCAGGAAGAAGCCGCATCATCAGTCTGAGGTCCCTCGGGGCCCTGGTGGGGACACCAAGGCAGGGTCATACCAAGGTCAGCAAACAGTTTGGGGCAGAGTTCCGGCCCGGCCTCCATCCTGTGTGTGTCACCTGTCCTATGGGCAGGGGCTGCACAAGCTGTGTTCTCCATGGGACCTTCCTCCCCTTTCCCCAAACCAAGCCGGACCTCAGCCCAGGGGTCCCCGTGTTAACCCTCATTGTACTTGCTACTCCGGGCTCCACGGCGCCTCACATTTAGTAGGTGCTCCTTGAGTCCAGCTGAGTGGCTGGACAGAGAGCCACAGCAGTGACCAATCAGGCAAGCCGGGCCTGAGCGGGCTGAGTTTGGGCCCTAAGGGCTTCAGGACCGGAAACAGCGGGAGCAAGAACAGGACAGTGGAGTGAGGGGGGCCTGGGGGCAGGTGGGGGGGCTTCTCTGGGGATCGCATGGGGAAGGGGCGAGAGGGGGAGGGGACAGCACCCAACAGGCTAGCAGTAGGGCAGCATGGAAAGTTTATGCAAAATAACATGCAAATGAGTAGCCCCTTTTCTGCTGGAGCAGGGATGTCCCCCAAAAGCTCCCCAGTGAAAATGAACATTGTGGGGGGAGAGGGGCACCCCAGCTGAAGGGCACTCAAGGTCACAAAGGTCAGGATAGGACATACATTGAGGTTACAGGTGGGGAGCCCAGGTTGAACTCTGCAGTTTTGCCTTTGAGGACTCAGGTTCCAGGGAGGTCAGGTCAGAGGTGGATGGGCCTTGCTCTGCCCACCCCTCCCTGACTGGTGACCTCATGGAAACCTGGGAAGGCCCTCTGCCCGCTCTGGGACCTCAGCTGGGTCCTATGCTTTCCTGTGCCTCAGTTTACCGTCCTCCATTGCCAAGGCAACCCAAGGGGGTGGGGCTGAGGTGTTGGGGAGAGTAGCAGAGCCCAGGGGCTGGTAATCCCTGGGGTTGTTATGGCAACTGGGGAGCTGATGTGGAATTGTGGGGTCCCCATGGAAACAGGGTCTGTTACTCTGGGGACCCTGGAAGGAAATTCCTGGTTTCCATAGTGATAGGACAAGGGTAAGATTAAGCCCCGGGTGGGGTGTTGTGGAGACCAGCAGGTCCACCCCTTTCAAGATCCCCTCCCCAAGTAAAGGGGGGAAATGCCCCCCCGCTGGGCCCTGGGACCACTCTGCTCCAGGTCCTTGCCCTGGCAAAGCGCCCATCTTCCTGCTTCATTCCTTGGTCCTGCAAGACTGACCTCCAGTCCTGGTGTCGTCAGAGCCACTTCCAGCCTGGCCTTGCCGTCCCCCTCCTCGTGCTGAGGGGGGAGGCCCCCGTCCCCACAGAGGTCACCCTGATCAGGCCTGTCCCATGTCTGCCTGCCTCTCCCAGGAGGTGGTGCTCACCACCACTCAGGAGGCTCTGACAGGAGCAGTCCCCGCTGTGGAGCGCCCATCTTCTCTCCCTCCGCGGCTCCCAGCTCTCTCCTGGGCCCACCAAGGTGCTCCGTTCCCCTGCTGGTTCAGCCAGCCGGGGAGGGGCCCAGGAGACCGTGGCTCTGCCAGTGAGCCGAGGTCTGACACTCGTCTGTCACTCATGGAAGGGGGTGGGGAGGAGACAAGCGTTGCCCTAGAAAGCTCACACCCCTGGCCTGGCCCGCGTGGCTCAGTGGTTGAGCATCCACCTATGAACCAGGAGGTTACACTTCCATTCCCGGTCGGGGCCCAGGCCCAGGCTGTGGGCTCCATCCCCAGTGCGGGCCGTGCAGGAGGCAGCCGATCCATGGTCCTCTCTCATCACTGATGCTCCTCTCTCTCGCCCTCTCCCTTCCTCTCTGAAGTCCGTATCTATATGAAAAAGCTCGCAGCCCTGGATTTGGGGTGAGTGCCCACTGACCTGGCCACGCCTTAACAAGTGAAGCAAAGGGGTGCTTTCAAAGAGGCAGCTGAAGTGCAAAGAGACTAGTTCATGTTACGTAACAAGCTACCAAGTGGGAGAACCAGGTGTGGACTCCAGAACCCGTGCCCTCAACCCGTTCAATTTGGCAGCCCCAGCCTCTGCAGCACCAGAGGGGGTGGGGTTGGGCAAGGTCCTGGCTCCGGCGGGAGCACCAAGGCAGAGGAAACATGGACAGCAAAGTGTGTGCAGACCTGTGGGGTCGCTGAGGCAGGAGGCAGGGGTCATATGGTCAGCTGGGGCTGGCTGGCTAGCAAGCAGGAGTGCTCCTGGCCGAGAACTAAGGTCTGGCTTTCAGCATCCTCAAGGTGCAGCCAGACTGATGAGGTGTTCCCTCTGGGACCCCCCAGACACCCCCCCTGCTGTGGGAAGAGTTCAAAAGAAATGGTCTGAGCGTCCTGGCTTGTCTGGGGTCTCAGGGTTGAGCATTTTGGGTTTTTTTGTTTGTTTGTTTTAAATATATATTTTATTGATTTTTTACAGAGAGAAAGAGAGAGGGATAGAGAGTTAGAAACATCAATGAGAGAGAAACATCGACCAGCTGCCTCCTGCTCACTCCCTACTGGAGATGTGCCCGGAACCAAGGTACATGCCCTTGACCGGAATCGAACCTGGGACCCTTGAGTCTGCAGGCCGACGCTCTATCCACTGAGCCGCACCGGTCCGGGCGGGGTTGAGCATTTTGGTGTCCCTGCTGCAGGGGGGGAGAGGTCGCCAGAGGTGCCTGACAAGGAGGGCAGGGGTGCGGGCCTGCACCTTGGTGGCCCTAGCCCCTCTCTGAGTTGCCTCAGTTTACAAGAGGGTAAACTGAGGCTCGGACCTGTGACAAAATGCACACTGAAGGTGCCCAGCC